GAAGAAGAAGAAAGAGAAGAAGAAGAAGAAGAAGAAGAAGAGGAAGAGGAGGAGGAGGAGGAGGAGAAGAGAAGAAGAAGAAGAAGAAGAAGAAGAAGAAGAAGAAGAAGAAGAAGAAGAAGAAGAAGAAGAAGAAGAAGAAGAAGAAGAAGAAGAAGAAGAAGAAGAAGAAGAAGAAGAAGAAGAAGATTCTCAGTCATCCAGGTCATGGTTGTTTTTCTTCTAAGACATTTCGCTTCTCATCCAAGAAGTAAGAAGTCAGAATTCATCAGAGGGTTGGGGATACAACATCATCTATCTCCAGTCTATAACAGTCCTTTCAGCAGTTCAAAAAGGCTCCACATGTATTCGCACTACTCAGGTGAGCCTGACGACACAGATAAGGCTTCAAGTGGCCTCAATGATTCTCTAAAGAATGCAAATGACCAGCTATCTAACAAAATGAAACTCAATTGTGAAAAAAAGTAAGTTCTATATTTAGGCAAGAAAAACCAAATACACAGGTATAGTATAGGTGGTATCTTGCTCAATAGTAGTAACTGTGAGAGGGATCTCAGAGTCCTAGTGAATAATCACTTAAATATGAGCCAGCAGTATGCTGCAGCTGCCAAAAAAGCTAACACAGTGCTAGGCTGCATTAACAGAGGGATACAATCAAGATCACATGAAATGTTTATACCACTTTACAATGGCGTGGTAAGACCACACTTGGAATACTGCACCCAGTTTTGGTAACTACAATGTAAAAAAGATGTTGAGACTCTAGAAAGAGTACAGAGAAGAGCAACAAAGATGATTAGGGGACTGGAGGCTAAAACATATAAGGAACGGTTGCTGAAATTGGGTATATCTAGTTTCATGAAGAGAAGGACGAGGGGTGACATGATAGCAGTGTTCCAATATCTCAGGGTTTGCCATAAGAAAGAGGGAATCAAGTTATTCTCCAAGGCACATGAAGGCAGGACAAGAAGCAATGGATGGAAACTGATCAAGAAGAGAAGCAACCTAGAACTAAGGAGAAATTTCCTGACAGTTAGAACAATTAATCAGTGGAACAACCAGCCTCCAGAAGCTGTGAATGCTCCAACACTGGAAGTTTTTAAAAAGAGACTGGACAGCCATTTGTCTGAAATGGTATAGGGTTTCCTGCCTGAGCACGGGGTTGGACTAGATGACCTCCAAGTTGCCTTCCAATGTTGTTGTTGTTGTTGTTATTCTGTCTGCAAGGAATATAAATCCCTCCATTCTCTACCATCCAATTAGAGCTGAAAAAGCTTCTTGAAAGAGAAGCAAAATGTCTTCAGAGAAAAAAAAAGGAAGGTCAGTTGTCTCTTTAAAAAAGCACCTTTGGGATGCTCATTTATTATCTCACCAAATCTTTTTTTTAAAACATTGTTTGGAGGTCTGATTTTTCTCATGTTAATATTATTTAGAGATCCTTTTTTATATCTTTGTGTATCTAAAACATCATTCCAGTCTCCCATTAATATAACAGATCTATAGTCCAGCAAAGTCAATTTTTGATGTAACAGTCTGTAAAATTGTTCCTGTTGTTGGTTTGGTGCATACAAACCTACTATAAGTACTTTCTTGCCATACGGTCCCACTTCAATCATAACATATCTCCCTTGAGGATCAGAATCTACTAAACAAGCTGATAAATTTTGCTTAACATAAATAACTATACCTCCTTTTTTCCCAAGAGCAAAAGATGCAAAATGAGATCCCAGTCGGGTGTTAACTAAATATTTTTGATCCTTAGAAATAATATGTGTTTCCTGCAAACAAATAATATCATTGTTATGTTGCTTTAAATAGTGAAATATTTTCTTTCTCTTTTGAGGGGAATTGAGGCCATTAGCATTCCATGTTAGGAGCTTTACCATCTCCCTTAACCAAAAGCCTAGAGAAGACTGCTTGAAGATCTGCCATTGAAGAATGTACTGCAGAACTCTTGGGTCTTGCTCCTCCCACAGGCTCAGAAACAGATTCTTGTAAAACTTCTTTAACATCTTTCTTCTGTTGTTCCTTTTCCTTACGTCTGTGGGCTGCCCGGGTCATCCTTTGCTCTTTCATCCCTGCTTGTTGCAACCACGCAGCCTGTAGTTTTCTTTAAATTTATATTTAAAGTTTAAGATATTTTTTAGATATATTTTTTTTCTTTTTCTAAATTTTTTTTCTCTTTCTTTTTTTTTCTTGTTTCTTTTCTTTTTCTCTTTCTGTTTTTTAAATATTGGTGTTAAAGTATTTTATGATTTGTTTAATTATTGTAACCAAATTTGTATATGGTTTATTTGTGTTTAAAAATTTTTCTTTTAAATTTTAATCAAGCCTGTATTCAGCTCTGGGAAGGTTGGGGGAGGGTTGGGGTGGGTTGGGAGGGTTCGGGGAAGGGAACTTTTTTGTAAAATTTTAAAAATTTTCAATAAAAAAATATTATTTAGAGATATTAGAGCCTAGACTGTTAGAACTATTTTTATATATTTTCTATTGTATGCTGCTTATTGGCATTTTTATTTCACAATTATATATACAGTGATTTACGTATAGGGGCATATTGTTATTTGTTTATAAAATGTATTATCTTCCCTAATTCCAAAGAATACTAGTTCCTATATTTTTAATTCATTTGTAGAATACACACATAACTCTTCTTGAAGTATAATCATCTGTTGGCTGACATATTTATTTGTGAATTGTCCAGTTGTCTCTTTTTTCCAAGATTAGAGTGATGTATGATAAGCCTTGTAGTAATGTCTGCTGAGTCTCAGTGAAATCTAAAAGAGCTATGGGTGATTTAATATTTTGACTGCTTGGCAATTTTGAAAATGTGATATTATCTGTCAGGAATTGGCCTTCTGCCGTAATGCAAATCGTAATTAAGCTCCCAAAATGCTTAAATATTATTCCAACAGCTTGATAATGCCAGGTGCAGTTTATAAGATATAAATCAGTAATTAGTTATGTCCTATCATTAAGTCTAACTTCCATAGTCAATATATAATCATTAGCTACACTATTACTATAGCTCAATGCATATTTTGCAAAATGTCCCAGGCCTGATCCTGGATGACATTATTTAAACAAATCCTGACCAAGAAATAGAATACATGGCCAAAGAATATAAAAAACAGAGGATTATTCAGTAAATATTAAAATGGCCTAAACTAAACAAAAACATTATTTTGGTTTTGATTTTCCATGTTCTGTGAACCTGGCCAATTATCCTTTATTCAATAAATGATAGTTAAACTAGCCATGATTTAGTGTGATATGTAAATTATGTGATTTCATATAAAAAACCTTCTGTGTTATATTTCAAACATGAAATACCCTGGAATATAATAGTCTTGAAGTCAAAGACTTGTGATCATTTTGTTATTAAATCTCATAAACCTATGCACACAGAATATAGAGACACAAGAATTTAATTAAATCCACAATTCATTCTAGATGAGTGAGAGAGGAGCAGAATATTTTAATATGCTATTTCTTTAGCTCCTAGATCAGATATAGCTATGTCAAAGTAGGTTTATGATCTCCAGTGCAAACATATTAAATCAATCTCTACAAGAAATTATTTTATGTACTCAGATAGTTTTGGTATAGGAAACTAAGCTTTTTCTGTGAAAAAAGAAATACAATACTTTTTGTTTCTATGTTTAATACTACTTTCTAACCAAAAGGATTTGGATCTAGAACAGTAATAGAACTGCTTATTCAGAAGCCCAACACTTCTAAAATAAATGAAAATAAAACAAGAAACAGATGGCTTTTAACAAATAATGAACAAAGACTTTACAGTTTAAAATGCAAGTTTTATTTAGTGAAACTGGCCATTCTGTTTCTCAGGTTGCTTTATTTATTAGTTGATTTGAAAAGAGTTGGTTCTTCCAAATGGTGTGTTGAAATAGACTGTGTGAGCTACACTTAAAAGCACTTCTCACTTGAATCACTTAAAGAAAGTTGTTCTTCATAGTTTTATATTTAAAAGCCACTTCCCAGCTTTTAAACAATTTGTGGTCATGATATACTCTTGGACTTTGGGTTGATGTATGGAGGTCCTTGTTGATGTGTTTTTGCCTATATTTTTGTATAGATCCATCTTGTTTTGTTTTTATGGTCTATTATATTTTAAGGCACACAGGGTGAGTAGAGTCAGATGGTACTTGCACTGAATTATGAGATTATTGAGCTGATGCTAAATCCTAAGAAAGCAGAATCACTATGAATAGGCAGCTCCTTTATCCAGGAATTTGTAAAGAGTGTCTTATAATTGGATGGAATTGTTCTGCCCCTGAAAAGACACATTGACTTCATGGTGGTTCTTTTGAAGGCAAAACTGTTATACCATAAATGGCCTCCATCTCCTAAAATCTCTGCCCAGTTCCAGCTGACTCAATAGTTATAATTGCATTTCCATTATGACCATTTCTGGATAAGAATAACCATGTACAGTAATTTATGTATATATGTGTATTTGCATGGTAATTTTTATAAAATATATGGTTTTAAATGTGCTGTTTGTATTGAATTATTCTTTTTTCCTGGAAGCCTATGAGGATGACTGCCTTAAAGATGTAAAATTGCTCAGTTGTTCATATAACTCAGGAGTTGAAACATTATCCCATACATGGGGCAATATCAGGATATCATGTTACTGCCTTGCCAGAATAGAATTATCTCACAAGTCTGGTGATCAAGAGACAACCTCAGAATTTCCATTCTTTGTAACTTGCATTGTATGTAGATAAGATGGCTGGCCTTCTTGGGAACTTCCCCACTTTACAGAACTCTTTCCTGCCCCAGAGGTATATCCCTTACCAACTCTGGGATGTGTACAAAAATTTTACAAATACTTACCTAACTACAAGAGGTAGTATATGTAGTGAAACAAATACTGCAATATCTATAGAAAAAATTACCAAAAAAGACTGTCTTAAGAAGCATGTATGAAGAACAGCAATTCTGAAAATATCTTGGGAAAAAATAACAAATTATAAAGTTACAAAAACAAAACATAAGTTTTTATTACTTTTACAGTGTTTCATAACATATTTTTCTTAGAAAATTTGATACTGTCACCAGCTTTATTTATTTATAATTTAGATTTCTAAGACTCTTCAACTCAGCATTCTGGACAGCCTTAGAATATACTCTGAATATTCCACAATATGATTTATTTAATGCATAGCGCTTGTTGTTAGAAAGAAATTAAATTCATTGATAGAAAAATATAATACTGGGATTATAATCCTTGGCATTATGTCCTGCCCTGCAGGAATGTATGCCAGATGAAGAAAGAGTACTTATGCACAATATCATACATTCTTACAATTCATCAATATTGTGTGATCTAATTAACATCTACTCAATAATACTTGCAAGGTTATGCAAGACATTTTAAAGACTGACTAGGGAACCTAAAAAGAACTCTAACTGCTTTAACTCAGTTCTAAAGGTATGTAGGTATTCCTTGAGTTATGACAGTTCATTTAGCGACCATTCAAAATTACGATCCCCTCCCCCCAAAAGTATTTATGATCCAGTCCTGAAGTTACATATGTTGCAGCACCACAGCAGTCGCTTGCTCTTATGACCAACCACAGAAATGTTGCAACATGCCCCTTGCCTATTTCCCCCTCCATCCTGCCCCACTGGGCTTGTGGAGACCCAGTGGGGCAGGATCCCTGGAGGGAAGCAATTATGGGGACCCCAAGAGAGCCTGAGATATCTCAGTGGGTCAGGGGAGGCCTTGGGTGGTCAGAAGTAGGTGGCCTGTTCCAACACTAGACCCCCTTATGGTCTTCCCCACCCTGAAATGGGACACTCATCTCATTCTGTGCATTTGATTAGCAAATGCACTGGAGAAAGCAGGGAGGGATCACGTTCATTTAATGTGATCCAATCAACAAATCCTTGGGTTATGAATGTAATTGGCAAGCTCTATTACATTTGTAACTTGAAGTTTACCTGCATTCAAATGTCATTCCTACTAATGTCTGTACATGGATAAAATTAAAATCAATTCGTAACTATGTTTGCACTTTATGATGTAATGCTGTAATGTCATTAGTGGGATCCAACCATGTTTTCTTATTTTTTTTAAAAAAGTTCATTTACCAAAATGCAATTTTAAAATTTGCTATAATAATGAACCTACTACTGTGTGTGTTTGTATATTCAAAGATAATGACATTCTTTTGTAAAAAGACTTACTTGTAAGGCAATGGAAAAATTATGTAAAACTGGCAATGTTTCCTAATCTTTTTATAATTTTTTTTTTACCTTGCTTCAGGGACTATTTTTTAGTTTTAAACAATGGAATATTCTATATACAAGAGTTATAGATTTTATCATAAATATACTTTTCCAGTTAATATTAGTGGCATATATAAAACTTAACCGTACTAATAATATAGTCTGTTTTTTTAAAAAAACAGTGGAACATTTATGAGTTTTGAATGCACTGCATAGAAATAAATGCTAAGAAAATATAGCAATATTTAACAGAGGATTAATACACTTTTCTATCATCATCATCACTTCTCAAATTCAATTTCCAATGTTTAACATTTTAAATTGTTCTTCATTAAGATTCTCATGCATTTTTAAATCACCAAATAGTATATATCTTCTGTACAACCATAATACACTATGATACAAACTTGAAGTGCATCAAAATTAAATTCTTGTAAAAATTTGCATTTGATATTATAGAAGCCATTTTCTTATCTTCAAACCACTGCAAATATTCTGAATGCTTTGCCTCCTGGAGGATTCTGTAAACTGTAACAGAAAAATAAAGAACCAATTGCTTGAAGGAACTTAATCTTATCATGTACTCTTATTTTACATATGAATCTCTCTATTAAATTTATATACTTATATATGTCATTACAAGAAGGATGACCTATAAATATTTGAACAGCATGGTCAAGTTACATACAATAGTGGCCAAAATTGTGGAAACCTTTTGGGAAAAGTGTATTTTTGAGGTTTGATGGCTAATAACACCACTTTTTTGGGGGGGAATAGTACCATAAAATTATATATCAATGGAAAGATAATTTAATTAGGAATGTAATGCAACAAGGTTTGTTCAATTATCTGTACTGTATCCTATGAAAAGTTATAGCCAAATAACTAGAAAAAGGAAGCACAACTTGCTTAGGTTGATATTAGGTAGCTTTTCTTCATTTGATTGTAGCCAATGAGCATGAGTGTTTAGAGAGCCAATCAGATGTCATCTTGTTTTGGCAATGAGTCAATCAGATCACAGTAGGATTCAGTTATTGATGTCATGTATTGAAGCTGAGAGGAGGACATTATGTGATCACTATCAAGTTGGTTGGGGTTTTTTTGTGTTGTTTCATTTAGTGAATGAATTACTTTAATGTTTCATTAAAGTAATGGTGCAAAGAGTTGACTGGTTGCCCAGAAAGTGATGTAAAATAGTATTATTAAGTGAACAAGGCTACAGTTATAAAGAAATTAGAAGAAAAAAATGGTGGAAACTTAACCAAAGGTGGCATTTCTACTGTACACTTTTCTCAAAAGGTTTCCACAATTTTGGCCACTACTTAGCATGTTTAATTTACTGTATAGCTAATGGCAAAAGCAATAGTTATTTCTATCAATAACTAGAAATGCTATGGCCTTTCTAGAAATTTCATTGATCTCACAAAAGCCCATCTATAATTGTTACACTAACAAGAAGTGCTGTGAGCTCAAGATCTAAATTTGATATAAGTCACAAAGACAACTTCAGTTCTGAGTAGACTCAGGGACAGTCTTACCAAGGAACATTACAGTATCTTCACAACATTACCACTGAAAGCAAGGTATTGATTCATTCCTATTTAAATGTGCTTCTTGCACATGGACAATACCATAAAAATATCTAGGTGTGATGAAGGAACATTTACAAGAATTTCATAATGGAAGTATAAAGTTTAGAATATCTTTTTGGATGCCTAAATTTTCAATTTGAGCTCTGTCATAGCTTTCAGTGAGAGTATACCTGAAGGAGGCAGCCCACAATAGGACAGGTCAAGGTATATTTGTGTCTTTCTCTGAATGTAATTGTCAAAAAAGTGAAGGCCACCAAAGACTTGCTACCAAATATTTGTTTTAGCTAGAATTTAAATCAGCAGGGTCTTAGCAGGAACAAAACCACATTCTGCCTAAAGAACAGCATTCATTGTTGATTGAAAGACACCAGATGGCTTTCAGAAATTTAGACTGAATTATTTCCAAGGCAGATTTACAGATTTGGGGGCTGCACGTTAAGAAATTTATAATCTTGTTTAAATATGCAGATACATATTAGTTGCCTTTGTGGCTTACAAATATAATAACCATAAGGGAGATATGTATTTTTATGACTGTATTGTGAGTTAATAGTTGTTGAGGTATATTTATTGAATCTAGATGGAACGTAAATAGCTATATTCTTGAAGTCCTTAACTAACTTGATTGACTATAATTAATTTTTCAGTTATGAAACTAGTCAGAAAGTTTTAATTAAGTTAGCTAATTTTAAAAGAGTAATTTAGTAAATTATCTAATTAAAACATCATATCTTTCTTTTATTGTAGTTAATTTCTAATTTTCTTCTAAGACAGAAATATCCTAGTGCCCCCACAGATTGACTTGGTAAAAGTTAGCTGCATTATCTATAAATAGAGATGGGTGAAAACTAGAGAATGACATGCAATTTTTTGCAAGGGCCAATATTATGTCATTATTATAAATGCTATATCAAACAATAAAAGGACAAGAATACGTCTGCTTTACTTCTTTTTTAGGATTCAGTATAAAAATATTTTTGTGTGATTTATCAGCTGAAGGAGGCATTCTTTAGTGAATGAAGTAGATGGCATCTGCCACAATGTTTCTTGGGGACTGAGATAAAAGGCACCTCCAAATAAACAGAGAGTTCCTTAGGAAACTGAACTACTTCTCAACTGGGTGATCTGGGGTTACACACTGATAAACACTTGAATAATCTGGAAGAAACCTACTTGTTCTGCAATTTAGTTGTTCTTCTGGATCATCCAATTGGCAAATTTATGATAGAAAGGTTTCATGTAGAACTTGCTAATTTGGCAACATAGGTTGATGGGATGATAATTAACATGATTATTCTTAATTGTAGATTGATAAGATAATTGAATGAGAGCCAGTTTGATGTAGTGATTAAGGCATCAGACTAGAATCTGGGAGACTAGAACTGAATTCTAATCCTGTCTTGGGCACAAAGCTAACTGGGTGAATTTCAGCCAGTCACTTTCTATCAACTTAGAAAGAAGGCAATGAAAAGCACTTCTGAAAAACTTTGATCCATGCAGTCTCCGAGAATCAGACACAATTGAATCAAAGAAAAAAAAAAGCAATGCCTTCTCCAGTAACACAATAAAAAGTATCAGGTGTACTATAAAGGCGTGCTTTGTACCTTTCTGAAAAAATGCCATTTTGAAATGAAGCAGTGTACATTCTTTTCTTATCCACTGGCATGACATCAACAAAGCCACCTTCATTGCGAATTACTCCAGCATGTACTGCTGTTCGGCAGATACTGGACATCTGAGGGAAATACAGAATAGAAGAATTTCCTTATTAGAAAGTAGTGTTGACTTACAAATTATTAACTGAATTTATACAGTATCCTGTTTTTCCTAATGTCCACTTGTTGATTCAGATTAAGCGATAGTAGGACTGCTTGGCTGGGAAGGTCGCAAATGGCGTTCATGAGACCTCAGAACGCTGCAACCATCGTAAATGCATCTCAATTGCCAAGCATCTGAATGTCAATCATGTGACATGGAGATCCTATGATAGTTGTAAGTGGGAGTACCCGTTGTAACTTTTTTCAGTACTGTTGTAACTCTGAGCAGTCACTAAAGGAATAGTTGTAAGTTGAAGACTCCCTGTATATGGATTCCACAAGTATAAAATTTGCTGAGAAGGAAAAGAATCTTTCCCAAGTTGCCCAATCTCAGCTAGCCAAAAGTTTGAGAACTGTCAGCATTTTGAATACAAATGTTCTCATCAATGAGAAGATGGCTTATTCACTGTGGTTGAAAGATTTTGAGGAAACTGAAAAATTATACAACATTTTAAAATTTTCATGCAATACCTTTGATATTCATACATCTTCCCCAAAATGTATAAATAAATACCTATATGTCTCTGGATATAAATATTGATGTTTAAAATGATGTATCTTTCCTTAAATTACAAAAAGATTTTTATATATGCCATACTGTTTCTTTCACTTTAGTGTGGTTTCCATTTTCTGGTGAGAGTGGGAGTAACTGTTTTTTATATTATTATTATTTTTCTTTTAGACCATATATTTTAAGCTTTTTAAATCATATTCCAGAGGAAAATAAGTTATCATACTTACATCAGAATAAATTATAGTTCCAATCACTCGGGCATAATGTGGATTTGCCTGCATACAGTTGTGAGGACAGCGGACCCTTTAAAAATTGAGGGGAAAGATAAAGATTAAGGATTCTATATGTATACTATAATAACATGAAGGCAAATGTTATCATTGTACTGAATGTAAACAATGAAATATTATAGAATAACAGAACCACGGGAGCCAGTTCTACTATCAAGTCCAATTATTAAGAACTATTCATATTAAAATACCCCCAACAGAAAGCTGTCCATTTTTTATACAAATGAAAAGGATCCTATCATCTCTCTGGCTAATCAGTTCTATTGACAAATATATAAACATTTAAAACAGAATGCATTGCTTGTTAAAGTGTTGTTCTGTCATATCAGTTCAGTAGAGCAGACCATGGGATGCTTGAAGATTTTTCAACAAATCTTGCTTTGCCACCAGTGTTTAGTACTGTATATGCACTGATGCACATAACTACAGTAGATCTTTGCAATTAATGGAAAAACCTGATTGTAAAATAGAGATTGGGTAGTTTAATGTCTTGTATTATACTCATAAAGTGTAGCAGTCTTTACATCTTAACAGTTTGACATTCAAAAAATGACAAAAGTTTTATGTCTCTGAAAAAAATCAATAATCACATAGAATGCTTAGCATTATTGTGTGATTAGTTACAAACATTTTTCATAGGATGGGAACAATAATGAAAAGATTTACCTTGGGCAGTGTGTGGCTGGCCTATAAAAAGGACATAATTGTTCTACCGTAGTTTCACAAGTGATAGCTTGTACTGAAATTAAACAAGAAAAAATACACCCAAATATTTGCTATAAAGAGATTTATCAATATGAATGTTGTATCATAAAAATAAATCCTCACCTGTTACTTTAGAGACAGTGAATGAATTAGCTGATTGGTATTTCCTACAGCAAAAACAGAATCTATTGTTATTAGCAGTAATACCATTATCTTACAATGCTCTACAATATTTCTGACAAGGAAATAAGAGAAACAAAAAATATAAAAGTGAGAAGAATTATTTAATAAAAAGGAGACATAGAGAATCAATGGAGATGATTTCAGACAAGCTTTCATGGTTCTTATCATGCAACACAGCAGTCATTAATGACAACTTCTGAAGATACATAATGTTAAATGTTTTATAATTATTTATAAATAATTCCCTAAATTTGTTTAAATTATATTGAAAATGTGAGAACTAATTTGTGTGGAGATATTTCATTTTTATTTACCCAACTGACTGGACTCCATTTCTATAGGACTTTATGAAGTAATTTCTTCTTCCTAGCCTGGTAACATCAACCCAGCCACCATCATTGTCTAGGATACCATAATGTATTGCCGCTCTACAGATACTTGATTGCTAAGAAGAAAATAAAAACCCAGAAACAGAAATTAAGTTCAACCAAATCATTATTTTTTATACATACTTTTAATAGAAATAATATTTTGTGTTTTATTAAATTTGGAACTATGGAAAGTTCACCATTAGTTCCATACTGAGAAAAGTGAGTTAACAAATTATGTAAAAATCAGTATATTAGTATGATTCTATGCATGGATTATTTTATATGTTTGCTGCCCATGTTTCCAATATATTGAGTAAAAGCTAATAAATATAAGAGAAATCTCAAATTCCTGCCAAAATTAACAACTTGATGCCATTTTACTGAGCAAACACTTTGTCAAGGATAACACATTAGTTAAATTTCTTAATAAATTATAAAGCAAAATGCTATGAATTACAATATCTGTACCATGTCATAATAGACACTTCCCACAACTTTGGCACTGCTGTCCAAACATCCAGAAGGACATTCATACCTAAAGAATTAAAAAAAAAAAACAAGTTGAGAAAAGTAGCAAATAAATTTGGGGTTTTTTTAAGAGAGAATACACCATAATATACCATAATTAATTGATAAGCATGAAAATGAAAAGATACCTTACCTATTACATGTTGTTCCTTTGCACTGGTCCCTTAACCGTAGTTCACAGGAAACAATTTGAGCTGAAGGGAAAAGCAGGTGGTGTTACTGCAATGTTTTAGGACAGTTTGGTAAATTAATTAACAACAACAAAAATCATGTTACAAATGAAATTTCCTTACACATCTGTTGTTTGCTTATGACTTCATTTCTTTCACTGACATCACGGGGAGATGCTTGTGGTTGCACTTGATTTTGTAACGTATTCCGAACATGTAGCTGATGTTGTTCAACTTCATTGGTTTCTATCTCTGGAGAGTAATACCTTTCTGAACCTTCTGGTAAAGCAATTGAAAGGAATAAGTGCTTTTTTTTTTACAATGGCTTTATTCAATAGTTATAATTAAGAATGGCATAAATATGACATATTTAATCTTTGCTAGACATGATAAGGCCAGGGAATAATCCTGTGCATATTTCTTGGAAAGAAACTCTACTGTATTCAGTGGAATTTACTCCTAGGAACTTACTTAAAGGATTACAGACTTAAGTGCTTCTTGATCCCACAGTGCCTAAATCCACTGAAATCAATGGGCTTTAATACTGGTTGGCTTATGATTGTTTTACTACCAGGTATTGCTAATTAGCTGAGATTATCTAGTCATTGCACTAGGTGAGTGATATACACAAAAAACAATATACAGAATTTAAAGTACAGTACTAGAAAACCAACAAAAAATTGTCAGTTCTTTTCTTAGTGTTCCATATAACAACACTCTACAGGCTGCATCATAATGACAAATATAGATATATAAGATTGTTTATAATATTTGAGTGGTTCAGAAGGGGGTTCCCTACCGAAATTCTAATGAATATGTATAGGTCAAAATTTCATATACCAAATATATTATCCTTAATTTGTGAAATGGACTTTGGCTACATTTCAGAAAGAAAATCCTAAGAGGTTTTTTAATGAATTTACATGCATTGTGGAGGTTCTGACAAGATGGAATTATAGAGATATGTTGCAAAATAGTTTACAACAGCATTTATGTTTAAATTACTAGATTCATGCCACATTGACAAAACAGGAATCTATTTAACTGAATGAAAGATTTGCATTTTGATTAACAGGTACTGTAATTTTTACTATTAGAAGAATTCATATGCTGATTGCTTAACTAATCTGTGTTGGTGATACAGGATCTTATAAATAAATACATGCTTGTGAAAACATATTTAATTGTATTTTTATGCATATGAAAAAAGAACCATTCTCCTCTTCATATGAAAAAAAAACCATTATAAAACCCTTATATAGCACATAAGTTTCATTATGAAATCAGAAAACAACTGCTTGTCTCCTAAAGCATCAGCAGAACTACATACTCATCAGAACATACATTAATTTTCTGAATACATACCTTTATAACAAAGATTTTCTCTACAGCCTCCTCCAAAACTTGGGGGACATTCAGAACATGGGCGACCATGTTTATATGGGGCATGGCCCCACCAATTGCCCCTAAGAATAAAAAACAAAATGATACAGTGAAATAAATGAAGTCCCTGATCCCCGTGAGAAACACTATTTCTGCTGATTTGTCAAGCCTCTGCTTCTGAGGCATAGAAGGACAGCCTAAGTGAATGATATAAACAATATCATCTCAGATTATATCCCATTTATCTTTTCTATATTCTTAAAAGTTGGAATTTCTTCATGCAACTAGCATGAATTGATATCAGTCGTTCTCAAGACAGAGCCTTGAGGAAAGCAAGCTCACTCATTCACTTATCCTTAGCCTGGCTTGGCAGGGGACTTCTGCCAGGGTACCTTCAACAATCGGTTTACAAGGGAAGAAAAAGTGGGATGATGAAAGATAAGAAAGTTTGCTGAGATGCAATTTGGAAAGACTTGTCCATTAAGATAAAAGCCGCATGCAAAAGGACACAAGGGAAGCATATGACTGAAAAGTTTATATGACAGTATAAACTACTGCCCATCATTTTTAGTTTAGGCTTTCATTCTGGCATCCCTTGAATGTGAATGCAAGCTGTTTCTGCAATTTAGTGCTTCCTCTGCTTCTCCTGGAGACTGCAATAGCTTTAAGTTTGAGGATTGGATATAAGTCTACTTGTTACCAACATTGTCAGTCTGAATGGTCACTGAATGAGGCAGTTGTTAACTGGCACAAGATATAATTCTATTGATACAATGGAGGCTTATGTGTGCTCGTACTGGTATAAAAAAATTGGATTGTTTTGACTATACTATTTGAAAACCAGCAGTATGTCACTGAATGTAAAGACCAAATTTATATGAACTCTGGCCAATCAATTCTCTTCTGTTATTATCTGCTAGCTTTGCAGATTACAGTGAAAATTCTGAATATTGTGCTTTGGTTTATACTGGTTTATATTGGCTAGCATTCTGAAAATTCAAAATATCTAGCATTACTCTGTGTTAAAAACTCTTTTAGAAAGACCAAAAGATACTTTGCAGAAAGCAGATTTCTTCTTCCCATCACCAATATTATTTCATATCTTTTACAATTTATATTTCAAGATAATTACATATTTTATGGCCAATTCTGGTGCAGTTCCAAGCAAAACATTGATTTCCTATCATGATTCTAGTCTAAAGCAAAACACAATCCTAAATAATTTTATTAAGAAGTGGTAGTGAGGAGTTAGATAGGCCTTTTATGTTAACATCTGTACCATCATACTTACTTGGGTGAATAATTGCACACTAAGTAAATTGCTTTTGGCCATATCTGTCCCCACACATTCATATTATGACACAGGTTGACTGCACAGCCTATTCTGTTACTTGTTGCCCATACCACCTGGAAGGAAAAAAAAGAAATAGTTTTAAAACTTTATCCAAATTTGAATTCTGATGAGCCATCATAGTGAACTGATACACCTTTGGCAAAAAGGAACATATTGCACCTGAAAACTGTTACCGAAATCTGTCCATAGTAACAAAATTACCAACATGAACTATGCACAACTGTGTTTTGCCAGCTAATGGCAGAAATTGTATTTTTGTGGTAAGATGAAAATTGGCTGGAGGCATGGATTTCATTGTGCTTATAGCCATTAATGTCACCTACATGGACTTCAAATAAGGATCACCTCTTAATCATTTTGAATTTATTTTTTTTCCTTTTACTGTTTGGTTTTTAAAAATTGAGAAGCTTACGTTGACCTTCCCAGGTAAACCAGATAGGAAACACAACTAGATGAGCTAAATCTTCTTTACTGTAAGGTTACATTAGCAGAATCGTATAAGTCTGAAAGTACAAATTTTCCGCCTATTACTTTTAACTGCTACATTTATTAGGGCAGTTTCTTCCTAAGTTTCTTTCTTTGACTATTAAATGATTACCGTCTTCTATCTCTCTTATCTGATTGTTTCCTAAGCAGTATCTGCTCTTCCTTTTCCTTAAGGTTATCCATGCATTCCCTTACACTTTCAGATTGGCAAGCATTATTGAAAATATTGGGTGAGTTTCCTTAAATCCTTTAAAAATATTTAACCACAAGTTTAAATATTTATAATAAAAGTTTTTGGAATATACAGAAAAAGTATGATTATTGTTGGCTTTAAAAAGCTTTAAATATGGATTAAGGGCTCAGATGGACTTGATATAAAAGTTTGAAACTAATTGAAAGAATCCTTTCTCATGGGAAAATAATTCTGTTTATATTTTGAAACCGATGAGTTTGAAGGTCACACTTTAGAGGGCACCTTACAAGAAATGTTTGATACACATGGGTATAGGAAGTCTTCCAGCATTTATGTCTATAATACAATCAGGTTATTATTGAATAAGAATAGGCATCACTGAATAAAACTGAAACTGATTTACAGGAGGATTTAAACATTATAGACTGCAACCAAGAAAAGGAAATAATGGATTCAGAAATGAAATTAAATGAAGCTTTAAAAATTTAAAAAAATACAAGTAATAAATTTGAAAAGCGATGTGGATAAATGTTTTGTATTCGATTTATAAATAGGATTTGCTGAAGTTGCAAAATTACAAAAGGGGCCTGACAAGGATGACAACAGTTGTGAGAGAATAGACAATGAGAGTATAACAAAGCAGATATTAGAACTTGATTTTTTTGGGGGGAATTTAAAGATCATTGGAAGAAAGAAGAAAGAATACAAAATAAATTTTATTTGATCATGGTTAAAATAATGAGTTTCTATTTCTGGAGATGCTAAATTATTTTCTGATTGAGACTGGGAATGATGGCTATTTCGGATAATGTTTAATTGCTTTTTGACATGAATTGGACTTTTACCATTTGAAGAGATGAAAGAGGAGAATCTGTTTAAATATAAATGGAGGTATAAATATAAAAAGGATTCAAATTGGATGTAAAAGATAAATGTTGTAATACCTATGTTCTTATTTCATAAAGAGAAAATAAGTTTAATATAAGGTTCTCCATTAAAATCTACTGACATAATCCAGCACCAAATATAAATGTGAGGATTGATCGTAAAGTTAATTTTTCGTCACTCTTGTAACTGTGAACAGTCACTAAATAAGGCAGTTGCTAAATGAGAACTTTTATTATTAAAATAGAAGGAATTATAAATTTGAAAAATAATTTTAATTAAAATACATATTTTAATTATATTAATTCCAGTTTAAATTATTATTACTTTTGGTAAATATGGAATTAATGCAATATTAAATTGTTAATCAGATTTAGGGATGAGAAATATGTATTGTGTGAATAACTTTAGAACCAAGCCAGTTTTCTTTAGAAAAATTGTTAAACGTGTATTTTTCTCCGAGCCCACAAATGAACATGCAAGCTTTATCCATGGGTTAATTAATTCATTTCAGAAAATAACCCAATCTGTAAGTTAATCCGTTCATTCATCAACCAAATTACTATAGATATCCTGATATATTCCAAGAAATTCATATCAAAATGTGTTCTTAAAAATATCTGCAATGGTAACATATAGAAATAAAGAATAGATAATACATTGCTGCAAGCTATTTTTAAAAAATGGGAAAACATTTTAAAACACAGATACAACTTCCATGTGACTTACATATTTTCCTATCATTTATCTCTTGATTTCTACCATTCCAACACAAGCTGATGAATTCAATCCTATTATTCATTTTTTTAAAAGTTTCCAACAATGGTTGGAAACTAAACAAAGAGAGAAGCAACCTGGAATTAAGGAGAAACTTCCTAACAGTGAGGACAATTAACCAGTGGAACAGCTTGCCTCCAGAAATCATGGGCGCTCCGTCACTGGAGGTTTTTTAAAAAAATTAGACAGTCACTTGTCTAAAATGGTATAGGTTCTCCTACTTGACCAGGAGGCTGGACTAGAAGACCCCCAAGGTCCCTTCCAGCTCTTCTATTCTCATTCACTCACCTGAGTATAATGAGTACATACAGGACCAGAACATCTATAGGGACAATAAGGATTGCATTCTTGAGGATATGGATAAGTAAAGTCTCTCACTTCATCATACCATGATTGGACATGAAATGTTAGAGGTCTATACCTATAATGAATAAACAAAAAAATTGCCAAATCATTCAAGTATCTATTATCAAAAGAAAAAAAATGTTTTTTTCACTTTTAAAGAAAGAGTAGCATAATGTATTTTTTTTACCTTCCCCAATGTGCTCCCAAATTCTGACCAATGGATGGAAGAAGACTTGCAGGTCCATGTTCCCAAAGACACGTCTCAGCCCAGGACTTAGCAGATCTTTCCAACTCTGGGTCCCATGTCTACATTTTAAGGTTTAAGAGAAAAGATAAACATGAAGTGATCTTAATATATGTTAACATCATCTCTAAAATACTTTTTAATTTAAGAAAAATCTGTATTAAAATATATTGTGTTATAAGTATAATATTACAGAAAAGTATCCATCAAGTCTAACTTGTTTCTTCCAAAAAAAGCTTTCTACCAATGTATCTATGCAATCCACACTATACATCATATAACCCAAATGCTGCATCATGGTTATCCTAAACAATATTTTAATAGAAAGTAAGAAAATATTTCCAGCATTAATATTTGACTTAGGATCAGATATCATTTATATGTCACATATAAAAAAGGGTAGGACTTATGTCACAGTTCCACAATGCTCTTCCCTCATGGACATTGTTGCCTTTCAGACAATACTAATGGAAAAATTTTGTGTTTCGTGTGTTGCAACAGAAAGGCAAAAACAGAAAGCCTAATCACAAGCTGTTGTGTATACCCCAATTAGGACTGAGTAGATGTGCTCAAATTTTTTTTGCAAGTTTGTTTGAAATGCTGTTGGTATTGAATTAAGAGACCAAATCATGATCCTCCTAAGTTGCAAGATAATAGATATAGATGATCCATGAAGATTTCCTTCTAGCAAATAGGCCTACTGTATTTCAGCTGTCCAACTCTGAACTATCAACAGAAGGCAAAAAAACCATATTTTTGGTTCCATCTGGATCTTTGCTGCCAAGCTATGGCAGGCTAGCCAATGGGTGAGTGGTATATGATAATGATGTCCAAAGACAAATGAATGAACCTTCTATCCCAATGATTTGGTTCACTGAATATTACCTGGCCTGAAACTAAGCTGATTCATCCATGGTCAGTATAAGAGACGTGAAGTTTAATATCCAGTAAAAGATTGTGAGGAGACTGAGAAAATAATGGAAGCATTCTGACTCTTGGTTATATCTTTCTCTTTGTTTCTTTTCCTGCCTACCTATAACTTCTCACAAATTTTCTCTGAGTCGTGACAGTAGGCAGTTTCTAGAACAATGCTTCTTTAAAATTGGTGCTGTTTTTAAACTATTAGGTTTCATAACAAACTCACTCTCTTATAAAAATCAGAATTCACAATCATGACTCAGAAGATATTTACCCACACAGAATCTACAGAACTTTGAAGCTGATTTTAGGAGCAGCTTCATTTAAGCAACCTCAAACCAATTATTTTTCTATTTGAGGAAAACATTCTATAACACTGATTTAGTTTTATTTCATTAAGAAAGATCTGCTAATGCCAGCTCCGAGATGAAGGGATGGTTCAGCACAATGACTAATAAACAAGGCTGTGAACTTATTTATAATTTTTTTTCCAGACATTTGCCTTTCAAATAACTATGTAAATCAGACAGTTTTTCATCTATTACATGGAATGACAGGACTGATCTCTGTCACCAGGTTTGCACTACTGAGTTGTTTTATAATGCTAAAATGTGATCATTTGAAATATGCTAAATAAATGTAGGTAAGAGTACTAAAATCATAAAGCAAAGGCAAGAAGGCAGAGAAGAGCAACAAAGAAGAATAGGGGACTGCGGCTAAAACATACTGAAGAACAGTTGCAGGGGTTGGGTATGTCTAATTTAATGAAAAGAAGGACTAAGGGTGACATGATAGCAGTGTTCCAATATCTAAGGGACTGCCACGAAGAAGAGGGCGGGTCAACCTATTCTCCAAAGGCAGAATAAGAGCCAATGGATGGTAATCAAGGAGAGAACAAATCTAGAACTAAGGAGAAATTTCCTGACAGTTAGAACAAAAAATCAGTGGAACGATTTGCCTCCAGAAGTTGCAGGATCTCCAACAATGGAGGTTTTTAAGAAGAGATTGGACAACCATTTTTCTGAAATGTATAGCTTGAGCAGGGGTTGGACTAGAAGACATCCAAGATCTTCCAGCTCTGCTATTCTGTTATTCTAGAAAAAAAACACATTGTTTAAATATAAGCATAATAACATACAAGTTTTTATATGTGAATTCATGACTCTCCTGGTATTTTTTTTTAAAAAAGATAAAACAATAAGAAGAAAGTTGGGTAAGATGCTAAAATCAAAATCCTACAGTTTTTGGTGTTTGGGAAGAATAGAGGAAGAAAAAAGGAAGTACTGAAGATCCTGGCTGAAAGGAGACCCTTAGAGTTTTATAAATAGTAAACGCATAGCAAAAACACAGAGAGAAAAAGCTACATTTTATTTGTATTATTTATTTATAAAATTTGATTGTTTTATTTCCAAGAATGTGTTAGAGGTTTACTGATAGCATAAGTCTCAGGATAGCCGTGTTAACTGAGATTGGTGGCTGTCTTGTAATATAGTCAAATATGGCTACGTTCTAGTAAATGGATAAAATGTATATCAAAACTCTTTTACTCAGCTAAAAAAAAATCTGATGTAAAGAGGGAAATCCTTATTCAAATAGATTCTCTAGTATCTATGTAGAAAAACCTTTAAAATGCTACCATTCTAAATACTAAAAGTTAAAACAATAACACATGATTCTAAAATACCAAGTTATGTATAGTTTATCGAAGTTCACAATTTTCACTCTGAAGTGGGACATACTTAAGAAATCTTTTTAAGCACTATTACAAAATAGAGTAAGGGCATCTGTGGAGAGGTCAAGAGAAGGCAAATGACACAAGTGTGTTATAGTATGATACAAATCCCATCCCTTTCATGCTTATCTCACATAAAGATGTAAAGGATGAAGCTTACACTATCATATCATGACACACATTTTGTCATTTTGATGAATTCTCAGTCTCTACTGAGTGTTCCTGTGAATAAATACACATGATATTGCATATGTCATAATTTGCACAGTTATTTATATAGCAGTAATAAGATGATGTCCATACAGAGTAGTTTTGTAAAATGTGAGTGCAGTAACTTTTAATCTATATGTAAGATATTTCTGACAAAGAAGTCTTTGGAATATAGAACAGAAACAGAACACTTTCAGAGGTAGATGTAAAATGTGTAAACTATAATAAAAAAAGGTAAGATTCATACTTAGTATAGTAAGGCACACAGTTGGCACCAACAGAAGTAAACATTTACTGTGGCATGATATAAGGCCTCAATGTTGCATTCATTCTATATATAAGAAATAGAGTGGTAAAGTAAATATCAGAGTACAGTACAGTACAGTATGGCTATTTACCCTTTAATAACACACTATATTCTTTATTGTTTGTTAAAATATAAAGAAAGCTAAAATACCACAGTACTAATTTTAATTATGCATTTATCTAAAGTACAGACTTGAGGAATATAATTTCCTATATTTGAAACATAGGCTTAAATTGGATGCATACCAGCTAAGGAGATGTAAAAACCTACCAATGGATTTATTTATACTATGGAAATGTATAATTGATACAGTATTACATTCACTATATTAAAATGTTTCTCATCAAAAAGAGAAATTATATTGCTGTTATGCAAGTCATGTCAATAAACTTTTAAAAAGTTTAGAAAAATATTAATCTGCTTATCAATCATTAAATATACTAGGACCTCAACTACGGTATTTGGAAAACAGTTTTAAGAAAAGATTGCTTTTTTAAAAAAAGTACAAATATGTATATTTTTTAAATTTGTATAAATTAAATACAACCTGAAAAAAATCTCTGTTGCACTGTAAGACTATATAATATATCCAAATCTGTATATTTATGGCACATAAATAGTTGTCAACTAGCGATGATAATCGAGCCAGGAATTACGATCACAAGTCATTGCAGCCGTAAGTCATGGCAGCACACGACCAGACCTGATGTTTTGATATTTTTTATACCTATTGTTATATGCCATAGTCATTAAGTGAATCAATTTTCCTAATGGGTATTTTTTGTTGGAAACCAGAATTAAGTGCTGGAAACTGACAGAACAATTAATCAGTGGAACAACCTGCCTCCAGAAGTTTTAAATGCTCCAACACTGGAAGTTTTTAAGAAGAGACTGGATAGCCATTTGTCTGAAATGGTATAGAATTTTCTGCCTGAGCAGGGGGTTGTACTAGATGACCTCCAAGGTCCCTCCAACTTTATTACTATTGCTAACTGATGAAGAATTATCTCTATCTTGTGGAACTATTGTGATTATGTAATTTTATCCTTCTAATAATATAACTAACAACAGAAGCATATTATGCCCCCAATTCCCTTTCTTACGTTGTGTTCCTTTTGCTCTACTGTTATTTATGTCCCCTGCTTTCCTGAATTTCCCTATCTGATCTCCTATTTCTTATATCATTTTTACTGGATTCCTCATTTCTCTCCACCCACTCCCCTTTGCTCTACACTCCAGCTACAATATACAGTGTGTGATGTCCTGGTATTCTCATATTCAAATAAGACCACAATCCTTTCTATGCTTCCCTTGGATTGATGATGACTCCATAAGTAATCCTAAGCAACTATGGGTTGTTTTTAATTTCTTTTTTTTTCAGTTGCTTGACACCTCCTTTTTTGGGGTTTCTTTTGCCTCTTCTCTGCTGTCTCTTACAATGTTACATTTATTTGTTTAAAAAACTTGTCCCTTACCTATGATGTTTCCCTCCTTTTCTTTTCTTTTTTTCAATTCATCTGAGATACAGATGTCAGTAGGTTTTCCAAAAAGTAAAAATACGGCCAGCAAAATGCTACTGAACACAGATTAAAACCTAATGGTCAAAAATCAGTGCCAATTACCCTCTCACCAATCAATTTCACTGTTCTTCTTTGACTAGTACTTTCTCTCAATCTAATGTCTCATCTTTTACCTATCTCCTTTGCTGTGTATAAATAATTAGAATGAATTTCTTATTAAGAAATTAAAAAACAGTCATGGATGGGGAATAGTATAACTTGTTGCTGTTATAATTCAGGTGGGAGCAGGGGTAAATGAATTTACTACTGATAAATGACCCCTACTTATATTTTTAAATTATCATGTCACTTTGGAGAACAAATGGTCCCTACTCA